GATAATGTTTTGCTTGCAACTAAGTCATACAAACAGATAAAAATTACAGAAAATTTATGTAAAATGACTACTCTGACATTTGTTTTTTGTCTGTTTGTATGATTCAATTGTACAACTCAGTTGTAAACATAACATTGCTCTTTGGCCATTGAATTAGAATTTTTTTTTTTCATATTTTATTTGTAATTAATATTTTTCCATGATTCACATTTATTTTTAATATAAAAAAGAAAAAGGGGCAACAATGGGAAGAGATTAATTATGATTTTTAAGTAAGAGCAATGTTATGCTTACAAATGAGTCATACAAACAGATAAAAAACAAAGGATAAAATAGTCATTTTACATAAATTTTGTATAATTTTTGTCTGTTTGTATGACTCAATTGTAAACAAATCATTATTGTTTGAGTAAAATACTTGCTTTGCTTCTTTATGTTTATATTTTGAGTAACGAATATTGACTGTAAAGTGGAAGGCAAATATCACTTTTTAAAACCTTTCAATCTAAAATTAAATTTTTAATGTGCAGGTTAGGTATAATTGTAGCACACCTAAAGGAGGATTTATGCCCACTCACCAAAGATGTTCTTTTGAGTTTTTACACTATATTGAACGCTATATAAAATTGCAAATTGTAAGAATATTTTCATTCAAAAATCTACTTTTTGTACCCTTTTTTTTTTAATTACAAATTTTTTAAATTACATATTATAACTTTTGTAATTTATTTATTTACTTCATTTTTTATTATTATAATACAAAATCGTTATATTAATTCTCAAGAACAAGTACATAAAGTTATTTGATTATATTATTTTCTTTTTTCTCTGTAAAATCGTTCAATATTAAACTCATCAATTTTGTTAAGAAAGTTTTAAAAACACTCTGATAGTTATCAAAACTCTTCCTTAAAAATATCAAAAAACCCTTTTAAAATAATCAACACCCTTCTACAAAATTATGAAAAACCTTCTGATAAAAGTGTTTTAATAATTTCTCAACCAAAATGGATCAATTTATGCTAATAGAAAAATGTTAGATTTATAAAAAGTTTTTGAGACATCTAAAATGGCAAGTCACATCATCTGTTGTCACCACTTTCCATATTAGCATTTTCTTAAATATTAAATATTTAATTAATTATATTAATTAATCCAAATTCAAAAAAAAAAAAAAAAAAAAAAAATTGATTCTATTAAATAAAAAATCCCCAATTCCCTTACTATTATTCAGACCCTAACCTTCCATTGTTCTTTCTCATCCTTCATCTTCTTCCTCTCTCCTTCTTCTCTTCTCCTCCTCTTCCTTTCTTATCTGTTTTTTTCTCTCTCCTCTACTTCCTTTCTTCTCCATCTCCTCCTTATTTCTCATTCTCTTTCTCCATCTCCTCCTTATTTCTCATTCTCTTTCTCCATCTTCCTCTAATTCCACTTGGGCGGTGGCTAAATCTTGCCACCACTGCCCAGATTTGATTTTTGGCCACCACAGCCCAGATTTGGTGGTTGGCTCAATTTTTTTATTTCTTTAGTTTATTATTAATTTTTCTTAAGAAATTGGATTCGATGAATTTGGATATTGAAGGGTTTAAATTAATTATGTTTTATAATGTATTTTTGATTAAGAGTAAGAAAAAAAGAAAACAGAAGAAAAAACTAAAATGTTAGGAAGAGGAAGAGGAAGACAAGGGATTGGTGGTTGGCCGCACCTTGGCCTCAGGTGGCCTAGTGGTTGGCGAAACCGTGGCCACATGTGGTGTAGCTAGCAATGTCGCAGGAGGCAAGGATTGGTGGTTGGTTGCACTTTGACAGTGCCTTGTGAATAGTGGCGATGCAGTTGCGGGTGGTGGTGGAAGAGGATAGACCGCGGTGGTGCGGTTGAGATTGGGGAAAAAATAAATTAGAGAGGAAGAGGAGAAGTGAAGAAGGAAAGAGCAAGAAGATGAAGGATGAGAACGAACTTTTGATTTAGCATAATCAAATTTTTTTCTGAATTTAGGTTAATTGAAATAATTTAATTAATATGATTAATTAATTATTAAATATTTAAGAAAGTGGTGATGTGGCAGGTGATGTGATTTGCAACATCAATTTGTATAAAGATTTAGCATGAAAAAATTAAAATAAGCTTTCATAAATTTTATCCAATTGTAAAATAGCTCACAATATCCCCCAAAATTTAGTCCAAAAGTTGTCAAATTTTTATTTTTAAAGTATTTTCTTGCATTTCCTTTTCATGATAATTCAAACTCTTTGTAGTCTTAGCAAGGTCAAGCTCAAGGACTCTGCAACCTTGGCTCAACTAATCCAAACCTACGCTAAAACCAATCGATTAGCCAAAGCAAAACAGCTTCATTCTGAGTTAATCACTTCTGGCTATCCACTATGCACATTTTTAATCAATCATCTCATCAATATGTACTCCAAATGCGGAGAATTAGATTATGCTGTGAAACTGTTCGACAAAATGCCTCTAAGAAACCTTGTTTCTTGGACCGCAATGATCACTGGGTTTTCTCAAAATCACAAATTTACAGAAGCTACGAAAACGTTTTGTGAAATGAGAATTGCCCAAGAAAGCCCGACCCAGTTTGCACTTTCTAGTGTTATTCAAGCCTGTGTACCTCTTGGATTCATTGAGTTTGGGAGACAAGTGCATTGCCTTGCTTTGAAATGCGGGTTTGGTGGTGAATTATTTGTTGGTAGTAATTTGGCGGATATGTATTCCAAATTTGGTGTGATTGGAGATGCTTGTAAGATTTTTGAGGAAATGGAATATAAAGATGAAGTGTTGTGGACTGCTATGATTGATGGGTACGCCAAGAACGGTGATTTTGAGGGGGCGTTATTGGCTTATAAGAGGATGGTTAATGAGGGGATTGTGATGGATCACTATGTTTTTTGCAGTACTTTAAGTGCTTGTGGAGCACTTAAGTTTTGTAATTCTGGAATGTGTCTTCATTCCGTTGTAGTTAAAGTGGGATATGAATTGCATATTTCAGTAGGAAACGCCCTTACAGATATGTACTCGAAAGTGGGAGATATGGAAAGTGCTCAGATTGTGGTTGATTCTTCGTGTCGGAACATCGTGTCTTATAGTTCTTTGATTGATGGGTATGCTCAATTGAATCAAATGGAGAAGGCTTTGAGTGTTTTTGTTGTGCTGCGGAGGCAAGGGATTGAACCTAATGAGTTTACTTTTTCTAGTTTAATCAAGGCTTGTGCTAACGATGCTGTAATTGACCAAGGGACCCAACTTCACGCTCAAGTGATTAAATTCAATGTTGAGAGGAACGCTTTTGTTTCTTCAATTCTTGTAGATATGTATGGAAAATGTGGATTGCTTGATTATTCAATCCGAGTTTTTAGTGAGATCGAAAGTCCGAATGACATTGCATGGAATTCGTTGATAAATGTGTTTGGTCAGCATGGTTTAGGTAAAGATGCCTTGGAAAGTCTAGACAGGATGATGCATAGAGGAGTGAGACCAAATGCAGTAACATTTGTTAGTCTTTTAACGGGATGTAGCCATGCTGGATTAATAGATGAAGGTTTAAACATCTTTTATTCTATGGAAAAGACTTACGGGGTAGTGCCGAGAGAAGAACATTACTCTTGCATCATAGATTTACTTGGTCGATCTGGAAGGCTCAAAGAAGCTGAAGAATTTATTAATAACATGCCATTTGAGCCAAATTCCTTTGGATGGTGTTCTTTTCTTGGGGCCTGCAGGATTCATGTTGATAAGAAGAGGGCTGAAGTTGCTGCAGAAAAGCTGATGCTGCTTGAACCTGAAAACAGCGGGGCTCATGTTTTGCTTTCAAATATTTATGCAAAAGAAAAACAGTGGGAAGATGTTAGGAATTTGAGGAAGATGATGAAAGATGGCAATGTTAAAAAATTACCTGGTTATAGTTGGGTTGATGTTGGAAACAAAACACATATATTTGGAGCTGAAGATTGGTCTCATCCCCAAAAGAAAGAAATTTATGAGAAGCTCGACAGTCTCTTAGATCAGATAAAGGAAGCAGGCTATATTCCTTCCACGCAATCAATTCCGCTGGAAATGGATGACAAAACGAAGGAAAAGCTTCTTCATCGTCACAGTGAGAGAATAGCTATAGCATTTGCACTAATAAGTATGCCAATTTGGAAGCCAATAATTGTGAAGAAAAATTTAAGGGTGTGCTCAGATTGCCACTCTGCAATCAAGTACATCTCTAAGGTGGGTGGAAGAAAGATTATTGTCAGGGATAATAGTAGGTTTCACCATTTCGTAGATGGATCATGTTCCTGTGGAGATTATTGGTGATGGTTTAAACCTTAAAGGCTTACTTGAAGTTGAGAAAAAGATCACTGGGTGGCTGCTACCTGTGAGTGTTTGAACCTACCGTGATGATGTGCCATTTTAAACTGGAGAAAATACAGAGATGATGAGCGACAGTGTTTGAAGGTAAATATTACAACTTAGTATGAACTTGGGAGTAGGTTATTTATTTATATTAGTCTTGTTCTTCGTGATTTTCCGAGCTTCAACACAAACTCTAGCCGTAGCCGGTGGAAAATATATAGAGGTGGTCACTGGCAAACGCCTTGAATATGTTCAAGAAATATCTTCAATCTTGGTTTATTTTGGTGGGCTTTATACAATTTTAGAGTAATACTATACTAACAACTCTTTTTCATAAACTTTCTTACACAATCTTGATGTGACAACTTATAATTGATCAGTTTGCAATTATAATTGATCAGTTTGCAATTATAATTGATCAGCTTGTAATTAATTAGTGAGACTCATATAGAACTCATGTAAAACTCATTGTAAACTGGTCAATTACAAACTACTACGTCAAAGTTGTGAGAGAATTTATGAAATAGGATTATTGATATAGTATTAGTTACAATTTTAACCACCAAACTGCATTTAAATGGAATTCATCCCCTCGTTTTGAACTTAATTTTAAAGAATATGCGTGACATTGTGTAAAAATGAATATAAGTTATGTTCATAATCATATCATGTATAAGGAATTGGTATAAAAAACATCTCTCTAAAAAATTCATCTTCAAAGTTCAAACATGAATGCTTCAAGCACGCGAGTTTTATCTCTTCTTCAGCTGCATATGTACAAGCTCAGCAACTTATTCGACAACTTGAAAATTTCTCAAACTTATTGAAATATTAGGGAAGGAATATAACAAAGATTTTTATAGTGGTTAGTTATATAAAGCGAATAAAAAGAACCTAGCACCAAATGCTATACTGCAAACAACTGGACAAGCTATCTGAGAGCTATAAACTACTCAGAGACTAGTGTGTTATACTAAAAAGGGCAGACCATCGCGGATATATATATATATATATATATATATATGAAACAAAAGGATTCAAGCCCTTGGATAGCGTGACCGCCCTTTCCTTTTCAGGAACTCGGGGATCTCCACAGAACCACCTTCAGCAAAAGATGAAGGTCGCCTATTTATTCCAAAGGGGACATCTCCCTGTGCTAGCTGACTTGCCTGCATCTTAACAAGAACCCGCACAAAAATTGGTATTCTATGAGAGAGAGAGAGAGAGAGAGAGAGAGAGGAGTAATACCTGGAGAGGCCTCCCTTCACTTTCTTCTTGGCGTTTGAAACCGGTAGCAATTAAAGTTATACTTACCTGGAAAAAAAATTAATAAATAAAATAAAAAATAAAGCCTTATGCTGATTACCTTCAAGTCAACATTAAGGCAGTCGTATTTCAATTACAAGGCAAGCCTCAAGGAATATGACATGGCACTTATAATTTTTCGGTAGTAGATGATATTCAGATAGAAAGGTACAGAATGATCTCCCTGATGAAGACTTGCAAAATTTTTCGGTAGTAGATGATATTCAAATAGAAAAATACAGAATGATCTCCATGATGAAGACTTGCAATTAGAATACCCGCCTCATTAGAGGAGGAAAAAACGCCTCACCTCTTGTGATGGCAAAGACTATAACAAGAAACAGACAAAAGACATGAATTGACTTCAGTGAAAATGATAGCATTGCATAATGCATCAACAATAAATGCGTTTGAAACTAGACATCAATTTGCAGACCGCTATGCTCATTATACTTATTTGGAATAAAAATAACTTACTTGACCACTGAGTGAAGGATCTATCACTGCTCCAAATATCAAATTGGCAGTTGGATCCACAAGGTCATAAATAACCTCAGCTGCAGCATTTACCTGCACAAGTTCAATATAAAAATTCATGTTTATAATGTAACAAATTATGGTTGTTGCAAGCTTTGGAGCTAGGACAGCTGCAAATAAACAAGACATAAAAGACAAATTGGAGGTCTAAAATACAACTTTTCTACAGAGAACAAATGTCAAGACAGTTTCGAGGCCCATAAAGGCCATCTGTGTTGTCTTCTACTCAGTGTACTATTAAATGTCTGACTGACTAAGCAGATATGATAAAACCATGCAGATTGGGTATGACTCCATCAATTTAGATTTAGGAAAGAATTCAGATTTAATGAGATGACCATATTCAACAAAATAACAAAATAGATAGCACCATCACATGGTGGTTGAAAGAATTCTACAAGCAAATTGGTTGCAGTGTCCCCCATAAAAGTATATACACTCTGTCCCAGATATGGTGACCGGACAACCCTGAGCACATTTTCCATGTGTATTGCCTACAAAACTTCAGCTTTATGTAAAAGATGTCAAAGAAATCAGCTTTAAGTGTATGTTTTTGGACTGTGTCAACAGATGCAAAAAGAAGTTTAGAGGGAGATATGACTACAGGTACAATCCAAATCTCCACAAACACAAACCAGTAAAGAGAGAGGGAGAAAGAGATACCTCAAACAAGGTCAAATCACTTCCACCAGTAATGTTCCACACAATTCCAGTAGCCCTTTCTATACCAATATCTAGCAAAGGCGATTGAATGGCATTTAATGCAGCATCTCTAGCTCGCGTCTTCCCTATACAAAAGCAAGCACCAAAAAGCAATTTTTTAAATATTATGTTTGAAACCTTGATTAAAGATGATTATCAATTCTGAATCAAAGTAGCCCGGAAGTCAACAGGTAGCAGAAAGTAAATGAATCATGGCATCGATATCCAAGCAATGTGATGAAGGCCACAGCTCTCAATAGATGAGAAAATGATGAAGAATCCTTGTACACCATTTTATGAAATGGGTATTAACTGTTTCCTTCCAGTATTGCCCAATCATTAAAGGTTTCCATGCAATCATCAACTCAATGAAAGATCAAATTTAGCATTAAACGTATCAAAATCAACAGTGAGTGTATGAATGCCCATATCAATCAACTACATGTACAACCTATACAGAGGACTTCAACGAAAACTCAGCTATTTAAGGAGTGCACCAGCAGTTTGGGTACTCATATGCTTCACTTGTCCTGATGGTTATCAACTCCATTAAACATCTTACTAAAACTATCATGAAAAGTTATGCATAGGTATGCATAGAACACCTAGTATCTACTCAATGTCATATCTAGTTGTACGACAAACATGAAATAAATAAGCTACCAACTGGTGGGTCGGGTTGCCACATTTACTTTTTCACACTTGGTTATAAAGAAATTAACACCTATACTTGTTAGCAGTCTTAAAAAAGAGATGCAGACCACCGGTGATGCATCCCATATCATGGCATTGCAGGATTGCCACAAATCACCTGTTTCACATCTTATACCAGGTCTATTGTAAACTTAGATTAAAGCTTCTACCATTTTTCTTCTTCTTTCTCTTGTGTGAAAAAAAACGAGAGAATGGTGATTGATTGCAATCTTAGATAGAAATTAGTCAACCTTTCTTACATGTTCACTGAGTTCTAGACTGATGATACTCTAGACACAATAACCCTGGTAGTCAGGGGCTTGTAGGACATAACATCCAACATAGGTGGCCTTTAGGGGATTTGAACCCTTGACCTTTCTGTTAAAACTGAAAGGTTTTATCTTGAGTAGGGATGCAAGAAAAACCCAGCCTGGTCTGGGCCAAACATAATTTTATCTGGGCCAGGTTTGATAGGCCAGGCCCAGGCCCAAGTATATTACATGAAATTTTTAAAACTTACAGGTAAAACCCCTGTTAAATCACAGATAACCCACTAAAAACTATCCACACACCTTCTATTAGTAAAGTTACAAATAACACCCTGAAAAAATACATCCAGGCCACATACATCAAATAAAATTTTAAAAAGACCCTTATTATTTCAACCAAACCCATCTTAAAGCCCAGGTAAGCCTGGCCCAGGTATTAAAAACCCGGGCTATTTCCAGGGCCCAGGCTAGCATTTTTCCAATGCACCCCGGGCAATACTAACCCGGCCAGGGTATATACATCCCAAACCATGAAGCCCAACCCTTGGGTTACATGAAGCCTCTGCTATAACACCACATTCTACGTTATTGTGAGAAGTAGATTAAAATTACCAGTTGCAGTTCCTATCCCCATCAATGAAGAACCTGCATTTGCCATTATAGCTCGTACATCGGCAAAATCCACATTTACTAGCCCTGGAATCTGCAATTAAGAACCCGCCACCAATTAGAGTGCATGGAATACAGCTGCCTAAAACCAGTAGATGATTTTGAATAAGAAAATCATCAATTTTGTGCTCTAAAAGCATTTAATCACAATAAGAACTACATGATCAAACTACTAGTTCATTCTTTATATCTAATAAGGTACTCCTTCTTTCCCCAAAAGATTTGTGCACCTTTCCTAGTTGGGACATCCCAAATATTTTATCAACTGAAAAAAGTCACAGCACTCTATTCCAAGACTTTCCAAAAGTATTCCTAATTTGATAGTTTCCTTTTATTTTGTGTTTTGTAAAAAGGATATATTTTGAAAGTCAAACTGTTTAAACAACTTGAAATTTTGAAAGTCAAATTGAAGACAAAAATTTGGCTTCAGAAAATAATAGATTTTAACAGAATTTTTAATCAAACAATAATAATGTCCCATAGGATTATAAAAAAGAAAAAAGGCTCTAACCATTTGATTTAAGTGTATTCACAGAAAAAAATATATCATTCATACGATATTATCTTTATATGGTAAGAAACAAAAAATGTTCAATTATAATCAATGAAATCAATAGCATATAAAGTGGTGAAAGAATGTAGGAAGAACAAGAGAGAAGAAACGTTAATGAAAATTGACTTTGAGCAAGCTTACAAAAATGTGGATTGAAATTTCTTGGACTTTGACCGTCAAGCCAAGGGATTTGACCAGAAAGGAAAAGAATATGAATTATCAGGTTGTCTTCATTCAATGAATTTCTCGATTCTCATTTAAGGTCAGCCCAGAGGACGTTTTAGACCCTCTAAAGGGATATGAAAAGGAGATCCTCTATCCCTTTTCCTTTTCACCTCAATTGCAGATGGTGTGAGTGGATTGATGAATACGGCATTAGAGGTAAATTTGGCGGAGGGTATTACGGTAGGTAAAGACTAAAGAAATACTTAAGTTTCTCATTCACATTTTGCCAATGATACTCTTTTCACCAAGCGGTCACTAAAACCTTGAAGACAATCTAAAAGTTCTTGGAACTTCCAATCACATTTGTGACCTTAAAGTTAATTTGGCCAAGGGTATAATTGTCTGACAGATCAATTTGGATCATCAGTAGGCAGCTAGGCACTCAAGCATTTGAATCTTACTTCAGGGATCAAATAATGGAGACAATGGAAAAATAGACTATGGTGGTGGTAAAGAGGATTATTTAAAGCAGTAGACTCACCCTTATTCAATCCATCTTGTAAATTCATCCAACTTTTTTTTTTGGTTAATGATTTGTAATAGGATTAGGGAAAAAGAAAAAGAATAGAAAGAATGATATTGGAGTTCTTATGGGAAGGGTATGATGGAGTAAAAGTTCTCATCTTCTTAGTTGGGACATTGTGTCTAGGCTTAGGGCATGTGATGATTAAATAGTAAATGTGGCCACAATTCAACTGGGTGGGACTCTAATGTGGTTAACAATGGTTCTTCTGAATACCTTTAGAAAGCTATAGGTAAGGAATACTACCCTTTTGTAATGCACACTTATTCATAGGGGACACAAAGGATATCAAATTTTGGAGGACAAAAGGACAGGTGACATATCCACATCAAACATTTCCTCATCCTTAGACTCAATACTAAAAATATTTTTATTTTTTGATAGCGTGTTTTTCTTTCCTCTTACTCAAAGTTGGAATTAGAATGTCAATTTCAAAAGTAACTTGAATCAGCAAGAAATTCAAGAATGCATAAGACTTTTGAAGGTGATTGAAAATGTAAAAAATTGATAAAATGAAGAAAGATGGAAGATTGTGGAAGCTTGACCCCTTGGGTAATTTTCTTGTTACTTTTATCTTAATCGGTTGATTGATGATCCCTCCATTGATAGTTTCAAGCCTTTCAATATGATTAGGAAGGCTAAAACCCGTCCTAAAATCCAAATCTTTCTGTGGGATCCGGTTCAAGGCAAAATAAAAACAAATGTTTCAAAGAAAGTACCCTATGATGAGCCTCTCTCCTTGGTATCTAATGTGTAAAAGAAGTGAAGAGTGAAATAATCATCTTTTCATTAATTGTGGTGCGGCTCAAACTTTTGGGCAAGAGTTGTAGAAAAGCTAAGATTTCTTGAGCTATTTCAGGCTCTTGTGATGCATATTTAATGGAGATTGTTGTCATCTTCGGGAGAGGACATAAAGCTAGAACTCTTTGGAGGATTCATTGTTTAAACTATTCTGAATAGAAAAAAAAAAAAAAATTGTCTTTTAATTGAGAAAAGAGGAGAAAGCAATAGTGAATCATGGGATAGAGTTCACATTTTGCTTCCTCTGGGCTTCAATTGGTAAGGAATTTCATGAATCAACATTTTTCTTTATTTATCACAAGTAGGAAGAGGTTTTGGATTGATTTCGTTGTTTTTTGGGGATTTGGTTCAAGGGACGGATGGTTGTACTCTATGGTATGTATAGATTAGTTTCCCATTGGGTTTTTGATTCTTTGCAAACATTTTGATCATAATTGTATCTACTCATCCTTTTACTTAATACGCAGTTTATAGTTTCTTATTAAAAAAAAACACTGTTTCATGTAATATGTAAGCTATGCAAGAATAAAACAAAGTAAAATGTCAAGGCTTTATTTTTTAAAAATGAACAAATTAATCATGAAAAGAGCAAAAAGATTATGAGAATTCCATAAAAAAGTTCTTTAAGCAAACCATACTGTGATTATATCTGAGATACCACGAACCCCTTGTCGAAGAATATCATCAGCCAAATTAAATGCCTCAGTTACTGGTGTAGACGGGGAAACTGCAGTTAATAACTTGTCATTTGGAATGACAATAAGTGTGTCAACATTATCTCTCAGAGCTGCAATTCCTTCCTGGGCTTGAACTGCCCTTCTTCTTCCCTCAAAAGAAAAAGGGGTTGTAACAATACCGACAGTCAATATACCCATTGACTTTGCAACTCCTGCAATCACAGGAGCCCCACCAGTACCAGTTCCTCCACCCATTCCTGCCTGCAAATAGAAACTTAAAAGTCTCAGGTGAGGTCCTTTTTTGAAATATTTGGTGACAAAAAACTCAGGTCCGTTGGTTGAGCAAGTAGAGGTCTATGCAAGACACAACAATCCACTTGAACCAAACTCAAGGTTCATAAGAAAAAAGAAAACTTCTGCACCCTTATATAAGCTAGAAGTCAACTAGCACAAGCTCTTTATTGCAGGTCAGACAAATTAGGTTATAGGTAGCAAATATTACTCAAAAACGAAGTCATGCAAAGCAAAAAGTTGAAACCCTCAACAGATAAAGAACAAGAATCTTCTATGCAAGAAAGATTCATTAATCCATGCTAATTTTGTATATGAGAGCTTCCCAGACAAAATTCAAACTCTAATTAAAATTTTATAGTATCTTATGGATGCTATCTTACATGTTATATGATAGCCAAAAAAACAGAGTTCCCTAAAAAATTGTTCTTTTTCTTGATAGTACAAAATCCCCAAGTGTATTCTCTGAGTTTGAAATTAGGAACTACTATTATATCCCATTTCTATATTGTATTCTATTTTATTTCATTCATTAAAGACTTCTGTTTCATAAGAGGCTTTTATATTTTTAATGAACCAAAGAAACAAGTTTATAAAAGCTTCACCCTGACATCAACTTTAGCAATCATTATATCAATCATTATTCAATGTTTAACCAAAATATGGTTATTTCTAGACATGCAAAAAATTGACTTATTTAATCTACAGGTGTATACACCCACAATTATTATTCTGTTAATAATAAGCTTTTATGTTTTCTATAAACTTAAGAAACAGAAGTATAACAGCTTCGCCCTCACATCAACTTTAACAATTTTTATATCTATCATGATTCAATATTTAAAAAAATTATGGTAATCTCAAATCATGAAATATATTGACTTATTTGACCTACAGGTGCATACACCGTCAACTACTGTACATACCTTACACGAGCACAAATTACAATAAAACATATTCATGAGAAATTCAGAAGAACGACAAGGTTCTGTGAAAAATGCTAAAAAAATGCATATTGTGCTTAGAACCAATATCTTATACCAAATCAAATTCCTCATAAGCTATCGTTCAGCTGAAACAAATTAGTTGATTAATTGCCAATTGGCTAAATAATTGGTCTCACGAACAAAGAAGTCACATTTTAGCTTCCAAATGAAAGATTTCCAACACAAAAGCATAGCCCACACACATCAGCAATTGAAGCTCGAAAGGCTTCCTTTGATTTGACAATTTTTCACCGAGTTCCTCATGATAGTTCACTAAGTAAATGAACAGAACGTTAATCAAGAATTTTCTCGTAGCACACAGTTTTCTCCTTTTTACAAGCAAAATTATTTCAAAAATAAATAAGAGAAAGTAAGAATCAGAACAAAGATAATTTTTTTTTTTTTAACCACAAAACCATCTTGAAAAAAAAATTAAAATATGAGAGTGAACAACTAGTATCCTGGAAGACAGAATGTCTTAAACATGACATACTTACCGTAACAAAGACCATGTCAGAACCATAAAGTGCCTCTTCTACAGATTCTTTGCTTTCTTTGGCAGCATTCATACCAATCTCCGGGTTTCCACCGGCTCCAAGACCCCTTGTTAACTCTTGACCAATTTGTAAGCGGTTCTCAGGAAAAACAGGTGACATCCGCATGGCCTGGACATCAGTGTTGACAATCCAGAACTCCACACCCTTCATTGCACTCTCTATCATGCGATTAACTGCATTTGATCCACCACCACCAACCCCAATAACTTTGATCTTAGCTTCATTAAAATTACTTGGACAAGAAGCGTTTCCAAGGGTCTCAGGGACACTTCCACTAGAATTATCCTGCCTCGGGTTGCTTATTGTATTGTTCCCCTCTCCTCTAAGCATTGAAACTTCTGGGTGTAGATTAAGAAAAGGGTCTTTACTGTGATATGAACTGACATTTTGTGAGTTTGCTGAACATTTAAACTGAGACAAACTTGATTTATGGCGAAATCCATTCCTGTTATCAGACAGCTTCAAACAATTAACTCTTCCCAAGTGATTGTCCACAGATACTCTCGCTCCAAAACCAGTCAAAACGCCTATTACTCTGGTATCAGAAGGCGTGATAAAAGTCGCCATCTTAATCTTATACTGGTAATAGTCAAATATCAAAGGTAAGTTCAATTTTATATACCAATAAACTAGATTTCCAAATGGCTTAAATTTCCAGTTCCAGCACCTGTTAATCAAAAAGACTATAAAACTCAGAAATTATTAAAATAATTACTAAATCAGCATTCAAATCCACTCCACAGTAGGCCAAAAACTTTAAAACACACAACTGACCAAGATGCTTATGCCTAACTAAAACTACAAAATCCCAAAAATTGTGTAGCCTAGCAGCAATTGAGTTACTAAGACAATATTCAAAATCTTAAAACTAAATCCAACAATAATTCAATAAAATGCAGACAAGCAAACAGTAAAGAAAAGCAGCAACAATGAAGTACAAGAACAAGAAATTCTGAACAAAATAAAGAGAGAGAGAGAGAGAATGGGAAGACCTGAGAGAGTTAGCGGAATGGAAAAGAAGAGAAATACGGAAGTGGGTTGTAGCATTAGAGTGGAAAAGGGAGGGTTTTGTTGATAAATCTTTGGAGAAAGAAACAAAAATCTTGTGATAATAAACAAGCAATTAGTTTTCCTTTTGAAAGTAAATGGAGTGTGGGGCTCCATCCAAACTGGTAACTGTCACACAATCAGGGTTTAAAGTGATTGGCCTTGAAAGCCGTTAAACCCCTATTTTCAACTGGCCTCAATGGGTTTGGGCCTAATCATCCCCTGCCCAATAGAGAAGAGTCTCATGTTTCTTGATTTAATTTTAGTGTACTTCAACTATTAAGAAAACTCTTAAAACCCTAAACTTTCTTTATAAGTTTTGAATTATGTTTTTAAGATTAAAAGTATTTGAAGGGATGGAAGATGATTTCGTTCAATGGATGAAAAAGTAAATTTTAATTATTTTTTATTCAAAATTCATTTTGTTTGATCTTTTGGTCCGTTGTAAAAAAAAAAAAAAAAAAAAAAAACATAAATGTTAGGTTTATGAAGAGATTTTGGAAGAAAGTATAAGAAAGGGTAATCCTAAAATGAAATATAATATGTTTGTAAGTTATACTTTTAAAAAGAAAATCTTTAAACCCCATTTAATACTAAAATAACCCTACTTAATTAGATTTAATTAGGGTTTTTATTTACACCTATTTTCCACAATTTCAAAATTAATTAGGGTTTTTATTTACACCTATTTTCCACAATTTCAAACTTAATTAGGGTTTTTTTTACATTTTCTTTTTTAAATTCAGATTCATGTTGTTGTGTGATTACTTTTTTTCAAAGTTTTAGCAATATATTTTCATCAAATAAAGAAATATTTAAAATAAAGAAAAAATTTCAATTATTTAGAAGATTTAGGGTCAAGGTTTATATAAGAATTAAAAGTCATATTGAAACAAAAATATAAAATAGGGTATGAGTGTATATAGAAATTATTATGTCAGTTTTAGTAAATTTTATTAAGAATAAAATTGTATATAAAAAAAAAAAATTAAAAGTGAGGGATATTGATAAATTTGTTGGGGCCTAAAAATCATTTCCTAAATTTTGTTTGAGGGATGTTATTTGAGCCCGATTAAATCTCTTCTAGGCCCCTAACCTTACTAAATAAAAATTAATCAATATAAGTATATAAATAATCATATTACAAAATTAGCCTTTTCTTTATATTCTCTGAATAACTTTTTTCAGTTAGCTTCATAGAAATCTATGGAATTCCACACACACACACACAAAAAAGTCAATTAAATCAAATATTTCAATCTCTCATCTTATCAAGTAATTGATAATATTGCAATTTTTTTTTTTTTAATCCGGGCAATGTTTATAGCATTCAAGAATATTTAGAATTTTATGAAAGATTAGAAAATAATGTTCAACGTACAAACGAATCTTACAAATATTTATAAACAAACGAATGTGGCAAGAAATGAAAGAACTAGTAAATACAAAAAGTCAAATTTATCATATTCACTTTTTCATTCATTTTCTGTCACATCAGTTTGTATAGAAATCTTTGTAAATTTTGAAAAAATGGAGGCTAGGGTTTTTAAGAAAAACGTCTAATGGTACTCCCAAAAATGTTTAACATATTTAGACATTCCAATTTTCAAAGACAACCCTTCTAGATTTTTTTTCTTCAATCCATTGTAGATTTATAGGAAACTGAAAGAGAAAACGACATGTTCCCACCCAAGGTTTTGCGAAATGGCAAGTTCTCATCCCTGGTTTCATAAATTCCATATTCTAACCCTTAAATTAATAGCGTTAGTGATTTTTGGTTTTTGACACAGTATAAAGGTGCTATTACCAAACTGCCTCGAACCTTTTATTATTGATTATGGCGATAAATATCATAAACCTCCTTGGAAGATGGAAGCATGTCCATCGCACCCCTACGAGCTGGGCAAACCCTAGCTATCACAACCGGCACCACAAAGCCAATGACAATAGCGATGAGAAGCAGACTGGGAGTGGTAGGTGACATGAATAAGGTGGGGAAATGAAGAAGCTGCACAACGACACCTTCCAAGTATGTGGGCCGCAATGTCGCACTCTAGAGTTACACGTGGCGGAAGGCATTCGGTGAACTATCAGACACTAGGATGATGAGGGTTTTGATAAGCAAGCATCAATGATGTTAAGGGTGGTGACATGTAGGATTTTGGCCATCGAAATCAGGCTTGAAAAGGTAAAACCCTAAACCTAGCGGCGACTGCCGATTAGTGGAAGAAATCAGATGGAAATCATGAGGGTTTGGGTGTAGGGAGGATGAGGATACTAGTGGTGGTGTCGAGGGAGGCTAATGGCATTGGAATCAAGCCAAATCTGGCCTAAGACAAGAGTCGTACGACCAAGAAAAAGTCGGATCTCAAGATGTTTGTGAGAGAAATTTAAGATGTGAAGAGTTATTTTGAAATTTTTATTTTTATTTCAGATTTAATATAGTGCAAATAACCACTTTACCATTTGATCGTTACATTAAAAAAAAAAAAAAAAATTGTTAATTTAAGGGTAGAAATCTGAAATTTATGAAACCAAGGATGATAACTTACCTTAGGTGGGAACATGTCATTTACTCTATCAGTTTCTTATAAATCTGCAATGGATTGAAGAAAAAATGGAGAAGGGTTGTCTTCAAAAATTGGAAGGTCCAAATATGTTAAACAATTTTGGGAGTACCATTAACATGCACGGGTAAATCGCTAAGTAGAATCTTGATCCAATTAAATTCATTGTTATTGATGGAGTCCAACTGAGTGTCAAATCACGTCTATAAATTTTCTTATCCAAAGTTGTTTCAACCAGGAAGAAATTAAAGCAGATATCTTATGGGACAAGAATCAGTGAATCACATCATTTAAAAACAAAATTAGCAAGAGACATAAGATTTTCACAAATTCGTCAAAGAAATTTATGGCCATTAGAACAAACATCGATCCTGTAGGCTGTAGCTACTTGGGCAAACACAAACCTGTGTAATATAAATAATAGAGCCCCGTGTCTGGTTTCTTCGTCTCTTGCAACAAAAACGTTTCATCATCCTTACTGTTATTTAAAAAAAAAAAAAAAAAAAAAAATATGCACAAGTACAAGTAACGCTCGAATTCTCTTAAGCTTTTGTTTAGACCTTTGAAAGAGCTTCCAAATTCAACAAGGTGCTGCAGAATTTATTCAGCAGAGAAAAATAAGAAAAAATAAAACAAAATACAATTAATGATTGGGTTTTAAATGCAAATAATCTCACCATCTCCTTGCTCTACAAGGGACAACTCAAGTTCCGCCTCATTATTCTCAATTTTTCTTTAGCCTTTTGGGCCTTGGTATACGCTTTCTGTTTTAATTCCTCAAAATACTGCACCACAAAAAAACAAAAAAAAACAAAAAAAAACAAAAAAAAAAAAGAAAAGACAAAAAATGTATTCAGAAATTTTATGCAAAATAATAGAATACAGATCATTAGGTTTAATGAAACAACAAATAATAATTATTATGAAAAATACCTGTTGTTTTCTTTTCCTCTCGAGATCGGCCTGTCCCGGGTAAGAGATAACAAAAGTAAAACTTTTGTCAATTTCAGCCATTACTTAAAGCTAAATCAATGACTAGAATAACATTTTGAATAATACAAAGTGAGATTATTGTGTATGAAATATTACCAGGGCCTGCTTGAGATGAGCATTCTCTTCTTTTAATTGGTTCAATTCTGCTTCTAGTTCAACTGTGTAGGCCTGTAAAAGAAAATGTTATGATTTGTCATGGTATGTAAAATTTTATCCATTTTGTTTAATAACTAAAATTCTATTGCTCACGAAAATTGTTGTTGATAATTCATCAAGCGAAGTTAAACACAATTGCAAACTACTAATTACATTTATCTTCATCTCAAGTATCACAAGTTTCATTGCAGATATAGTGTCCTTTTAGTACTTTTTCAGAAGTATACTCTATTTCCAACAGCTACACCTCCTTCTCTTCATAATGTAGAAACCTCAATCGACCTCCTTCGTATAACTTTGAATACTTAAAAAATGTTATTCACCATTCAAAACCTACGACGATACAACCAAATCTTTTTGGCTACTCGTCATCAACAATATATTTGATAGACCATTCACTGCAAAGCTCTCAATCTTGTTTTTTTCTTCAGCTTCATATTAAGCACTATCAATCCACAGAGAAATGGCTGCATTTTATTAATGTAAATCCCACTTATCAGCTCCTGTAATATTTGAAGGCTAAACATATACCATTTGCCCCGACTCTGTCTGCTACCATATCTTATCCATGTACGGCCAACTTCATGCCAAAGGATGTACGTTTTCCATATTTGAGTAATATAACTGCTCTCAGATTATACAACCAGTTGTCAAGTTCCACATTTCCAATTTGCTTATCCAATATAATAATTGTCCCATTCTTACAATGAGCCAACTTAATTACAAGATACAGATACAAACTTTATTCTTATGGCTCGAAAATGATTTTCGACCTACAAATGCATTGATATCTAGCTTCTGCGCCTGCCATCGGAATCAGATAGGTTTTGCTAATGTCTGATTTGGCCCAGCCCATACTATTACTTCTAAATCCTTAATGAAAAAATGAACTAATATATAAATAATATTTTGCAAATAGAATATGGGACCTGATGCTTTGCATCTCTTTGTAAGATACAACTAGAAGAGCAATGGAAAAAAGATCACCGACTATATGTATTCATTAACTTCGAGCTACAATGATTGAATTAGAAAGAAAAGTTTATCACTTTGCTCATTTAATACTCCAACTGGCAAAAGGAATGTGTGTGAAGCAAGTATCATTGCAAAATGGATCTCGGCATTTTTTTTTCTCTTGAAAACTATATAATTAAATAGAAGTCATTTATGTCTTATAAAAATTAATGAAAATTAAATAATTTACCTGTTTTCTAGCTCTAGACCTTGCTGCGGATTCCCTATTCTTTATCATCCTCCGTTGCCTCCTCTCAACAACCTTCTCCACCGGTCCATCAATAATTCTCCTTTTTCCTCTCAACCCACTCATTTCCATCCCAAATTGACTTCCTGAACTATCCATTTGATTCGCACACACTTCCGATGACGCTGGACTCACTGCCCCAATCGCCTGCCCCGCCGCAAACCCACCTCCTCTTCCACCATAACAAACACCTTGTTGTGGTGGCGGCTGCTGCTGCTGAGCCACTGCTGGGTACCCACCATTTCTCTTTTCATTTCCATTATACACTGCTGACTCCGCCATCACTCCACGACCCGTTGTCATCGGCTGATACGACGGACCAACGGTTCCACTGTTGCTTCCTCCACCACTAATTGCATTCATTCCCATTAGAGGCCTTGCACCAAAACTTGCAGGACTCATCACTGGGTTGTTATTCGTTTGGTAAAACCCAAAATGTTGTTGCTGCTGATGAGCATGCTGTGACGTTGTTTCCCTCACTATCCCTGCTTTAATCAAGAAATCCTCCAATGTCATCTCTCCAAAAGTAGGTTGCCGAGAGGCAGCCTCGGGATTCTGTACATTACTATTATTATTATTATTATTATTGTGCTGCTGCCCGTGTTGCCCTCTGTGTATCTCGGACCAAACTTCCTCCACAGTCTTCCTGCACAAGGGTGCGGGAAGAGTGAGGGATCCTTGTCTCGGCAAGCTCGGCTGCTTCGCTATACCTTTATGGCTTGATGCGTCTATTAAAGATAGTTGTTTCTGGTTGTTGATGACATTGTTGTTAATGTTGTTATTATTAATGGTGGAGTTGATGGCTTGGTTTTCTTCAGCGTTCCAGATGCTGGTGAGGAATTCGTCCATGTTCATGGAGCCGAAGTTCTTGCCTCTCTCGCATAGTGTGTGCTGAAACTCATCCAGAGTTAGTGAGTAAATGGATGAATGTCTTCCAAGCGACGATAATTGATGGTTCTTGTGTTGTTGGTCTGATTGTAATGGCGATTCAACCTCGCCTTGGGAAATGGTTTTGGGATCTGGAACCACCATTGTTGCTCTTCTTCTGCTGCTAATATTATTACTACAACATTCAAGCAACAAACAAGAAGAAAGAAAGAAAGAAAGAGAAAAGAGTGTAACTAGTAAGGAGACAGATTACAACAATTATCGCGGAATAAACAAGAGATTTGTAGTGGAGAACTAACGTCATCACTTGTGTCTATTTATTTAAGTCACCCCCATCCTTTCTCTGTAAGAAGTGTTGCTCTAATTGCACGACACGTGTTCTAGTTCACGACACGTGTACTGTCTCTTGACACGTGTCATAACTTATTCTTCTTATTTTCTTAACTTTCACATGGATCCAGAGGTACACACATTAGACTATCACATTATATATTTAGTCATTATATAAATTTTCTTTCTAATTAATCTTAGCCACACTTCTGGAGGTGTCCATATTTGATAACTTAAAAATTAAAAGACGATTAATCAAAGTTACAACTATATAATATTATATCTATATCCTAAGCAATTTGATAATATTCATTATCATTTATCATCTATATGTTTCCTTAACACTAATTAACTAATATCATATTATTTAAATCTAATATATAGAATAAATATTATAAGAATAATACTATTCATCCTAAAACATATCTTAAAAATTACAATCAAACGCATCATTAGTATAATACTTTAGGTCTCATAACCATATAAATTTCCTTAGTCCTCGTAGACATGCATGCAATGTCACATCCTTAATTCTGTCAATTTCACACAATTCTTCTCCAATTTGGGGATCCCAATTATTGTTTCTTTGATTCAATTTAAAACTAATTAATTATCAAATTTTCACAGGGATTCTTTTTCCTATATGCATACGGTAGATCCCCAAAAATTCTAATGATTTAAGGCCATGTTTGTCATCGAATGGAATGGAAATGTGTATTAATAAGAATGCAAATATTAGGAAGCAATATAATAGAATATGTTGATGCGTGATTTTGACACCAACGAAACGCACGTGTGAGATGCTGAGTTGGCTTAGAAGACACACGTGAAAGCAAAAGAATCGAGAGCAAATGCAGTGAAAAAGGAGTTTTAAAGTGGTCCGGATGCTAAGGAAGCAAGTCCTACGTCCACTAATGTTTGTATTAATGATAAGGGTCAGGTCGCTTTAGTCGACTGACTTTACAATGATAATACAAGGTATCAAATGCTGTATATTCTAGAGAGAGTGTAGTTAATCCCTCAAATGAGAGGAGAGCTCCCAATTTATAGTTGGATGGATTAAGGTTATCATTACTGAATCTGTGAGTTGGTGGGATTATCTGTACAAATTCTTCTTTATGTCACATTGCCCACCTTCTAGAGTAATTCACACGATTTGCTGCAGGGATTGGACACGTGGACATCCTCTAGCCTTTCTTCAGTCTGGAATGCACCCATTGTATTGATAGGAGTGTGCTGCTTGCATCATCAAGCGACACGACTGCGCCAGAATGTCAGCGGACTCTTCCCGAGGTCTGACCTTTCGCACTTAACTGGGCGCCACGTCAGCCCTATTTTCCCAAGCATAACAGAAGTCCCCTAGTTTTTAAGGTTTGAGAATCGAACCTTGGAAACTATAAATGCCTCGATTTGGTGTCTGACCTGTTTGTAAAGGAGATCGGGACACTCTCAGGTAGTTGAGGATCTGCGACCTTATGGCCAACGACCTGGCCTCGGGTACTTGATGCTAGAGGTGACCCCGACCTGAAGAGATTCTTGACCTATTCTCACTTAGTAACTTTTTAGGACGAATGGCCATGCTGCTTCGCAGCGGGCGTCACATCGCTTCGCGATCATTGCGACCTGAACAATCAGGTCACCTCGCGATCGTTGCGAGATGGTCGAACAATCGGGTCGTTTCATGGCCGATGAGGTTTGAAAAGTCGCGTCACCTCGCGACTGGTGACGAAAAATGTTGCTGGTAATGACTTCTTCAGATATCTGTTGCACCTTTAGTTGTGAGTGCATTAAATGAAATGCTCTTTGTTCTGACAGACGTGTCCTTTGCACAATAAGTGCCAGCTATGAATTGAATGCGGCAGTGGGCGCATTAAATGCGGAAAAGGGAAATCGTGCCGTTGCTTGAGCGTTTCAACGGGAGGGGGTGACGGTCTGGTTTCCTGAGGTGTGACGGTCACTCTTCCTCATTTATTCGTGACACATGGTCGCGATCAATGGCCAGATGCACTTTTTGCTCAAACGTCGTTTGATTTCGGGAAACCAAAGCGCCACTTCCTCCATTATAAAAACCTCAAACCTTCCTCAGGTGAAGCCACATCATTTCCATTTTCAGAGAACAAGAAACCTTTGCCGATCTTGATTCCTTGCTTTTCAGAGCGGCGTTCGTTTGATATCAGGAATAGAAGAGTCAATCCTTCTCATTTTCAGAGGTAAAGATGACTTCCTTTTTGTCTTTAATGTCTTTTAACTTTTGACAGTCATTGTGTGATGGATGTCCGTCAGTAGCTCATCGGAGACGAAATGTTCTCCGTCGAGTTGGAGCCGCTGAAAGCTCTAAGTATACTTGTTAGGGTTTTTATGGGTTTAAGGAGGAAAACTTTTTACCCACATCATCGTACGAAAATGTACAAAGACTGAATGGTACCCTTTTGTCGCTTCTGCAAATTGCAAAATGGACCCCCCAACGACCAGAGCCGAGGAAGGGGTTAACTTGCCTGTAGAAGGTGTTTTTGCAGCACCCCTCGAGAGATTTACTCAACGCTTACCGCTGACAAGCTGCGAAAGGTAGTTAGCCAGTTCGCTGTCAGGGTGATGTCTTCCACGAGGTGGCATATACTGCCCGGGATCCACCATGTGGGTTCGCTGCGATCTCCGAAGATATCTTTAAGGGTGGGGGATTGATTCCTTTCCACCCTTTCACCAGGTCGGTCCTCGATCATTTCGGGATCGCACCGATGCAGCTCACCCCGAACGCATACATAATCGCCATTGCCATGTACATTGTGTGTTGGGAGAATGGACTGGGCGAGTTAGCCGTAGTTGAGCTCGGTTGCTCGTATGTCTTGAAAAGGAGCAAGGACAAGGATTCCTGGTACTTATCCAGATGAAACACAATACAGGCTGGGATACATAGTTATCCAAGCAATGCAAGAGCATACGACACAAAGTTTTTCTTTTTTCGTTATGACGGCATCAACCGTTTCTAGGATCCGAGTAGGTTCTGCTTCCTTCTGAGCTCAGTTCGATTTTTACTTTTTGCTAACGAGCCATTTGCTTTCCTTGACAGTTAACAGGATGACCAATCTAAACCTGCTCGCGGACCCGGATAGGATTGTAGCATTTGGCTTTCTGCCCAGGGAGAGACACGATGCAAGGTTGCTCGTGACAACTGAGAACTTACGAAAGTATGGCTTTTTCAACGAGTCCGTAGCGTTAGAGCCCCCACCGAGTAAGTTTCGACTATCCTTTGTACATTTTTTTTTTTTGTAGCGAACTGTTTTACCAACGTTCACACGCAGCGACCATGCCTCCCCGAGTGTCCAAGTCGCTGCGAGCAGGACAGTTTTCTTTTCCCCAGAGGTGAACCACCGGACCCGCTGGAGCTGATCCCAGCGGTCCCTCAGTTGGAGCACAGGCGGGTACTCCGACCCGACCTGCTGAAGTTCCTCCGCCCGCTGCTCGCCCGAAGTAGAAGACAACGGCTTCGAGGCCTAAGAAGAAGCGAAAAATCCGGACTGAGGAGACGGAGTCCGAGGGGGAAAGCGTGGGCATTCAGCCCGAGAGGTCACAGCCTTACCGAGCGTTCGACTCGGGAGGACCGCCTAGGGGCGCGACCGGTATTTCCATCGGTTAGCTATCTCAACCTACGGCCACAGTCCCCGGGAGGAGGCCAGGCAAAGAACCCGCGGGTCAGGCTCCACCCGCGAAGGGCGTCGGCACGCCCATGGTAGAGTCAATGGCCCATCTCCCAGACCATCTGCAGCCGGTGGTCCTAACACTCTTGGAATGTGGGCTCACGGAGTCGTTCAAGCAGTTTCTGACATCCAGTTATGTCGAACTCCTGTCCACATCGTTCCAACTGTTTAGCTAGGTAAACGAGCTGTCCTGGTCGGAGGCCTTCATTCCTTAAAGGGAAATATGCTAACCCTTTATCTTATCATGCAGGCTTTGCTTTCCCTGCACATGTCTCAGCAGAAGCCCCAGCTGGGGTCTGCTGATTAATTGGTCGAGCTGCAGGGGGAGAATGCTTGGCTCGTGCAGGACTTGGAGGCCGTACGAGCTGACAGAGATTCGTCCATTGCTCAAGCAGACCAATTCATGTCTGAAAGGGACGCTGCTCGCCGCACCGTGGACTTTCAGAAGACCGAACTGGACAAGCGTGGCAAGAAGGTAAAGGAGCTCTAGCGGATTGTGGCTAGGCTTTCCAGGGAGGCTGGAGAGAAGGATCAAGCGTTGCAGAATTCCTCTGAACGAGCCATGCGGGTTGAACAGGAAAGTGCCAACCTATGGGAGGCTACTGAAAGGCAGTGAACAGAGCTCGAGGCCGCGCTTCACTTTGCTCAGGGCTGCGTTGCCTCACTAACCGCAGAGATGGAAAGGCAGGAGGCGGAAACGGAGAACAAGGCTACGGACTGGACGATCAGGTCCATCTTCACTCTTCCGGTGAAGAACCCTGAGATGAATCTGTTCGATCTTCCCGACGAGTACCGGGACAACTGGCTGCTTTAGCCCAGGCTGAGGCTGAGGCTGAGGAGACGGCTCTGGGGCCTGATCCGGAAGATCATCCGAAGTATGTCCCTGAGATGGTTTCGCCCGAACAGGAGGAACATGAAGTCGGCACCCAGCTTGGGATCATAGAGGTCGCTCCTCCGAGGCTTGAGAACGAGGATCAGTGATTCGTCCTTGTAGCCTTTATCCTACTTTATGTACCTCCACCCCCCCTCCCCCCCGCCCCTTTTATGATGAATAAAAGTCGCTTTGAGTAATTTTTCAGCGTGCATAGGAATTTTGAGTACCCTCTATTACATATGAGA